GATTGTTGACTGATAAGAGAATATTGAGCCGCAGAAATTGTTCCAGGAGGTCTGAGTTGACAACAAGAGCTTAGGATTCAAGACTGTACTGGTGACCAAGACACCCTGGGAGCTATTCAGTCATCCTGCTAAGGAGTGAAGAGGATTTTCTCACAACATCTGTTGCAGAAGTGTGGGGGGAACAGTCATTCGTAGCCACCACACATCCTGGTAAATCACATTCCTCGAACCAAGCGGAGAGAAGAAGTGGAACGAAGGGGGGAAATGAACCAGATGTCAAGAGAAGACCACACAAATGTGAGAGATGTTTGAATATATCTTCCTCCCCCATCACTCCTGGAAACCATCATAGAAGAAAAGATTGGAGAGAAGAAAAGGTCGGAGAAGAAAATCTCCCCCTAGACAGAGAAATCTGGCAAGCCCGGTTAGTCTGAGTGCCTCCTACAGCGACAGCTTTTTTTCACAATACCATTAAACACAGGATTTAATGGGACGAGGTACACTGAAGTTGCCTAATTGTCCTCCCCTAATGGATTGGCCTAATTAGTACCCTTCGTGGAGACACTGTCATCCCTCCGTTTGCAGACAAGATGGCCAGCCTCACAGACAGGAGGGGGAAGCGCTGCGAAATGGATGCCCCTGTTTGCAGCAGAATTCTTCTTCCACATCAGAGGGGGGAGATGTACAGCCAATCCTCCATATCCCCAGATTCTGCATCTACTGATTCAACCATCCATAGCTTGAAAATATATTTTTAATCCAAACAGCAAGCTTTGCTTTGGCCATTTTATATAAGGGACACCATTTTACGACACCATTGTATCCAATGGGAGTTGAGCATTCATGGATGTTGGGACACACAGGGATAATGGGACCTAACCCCAGCAGATCCCAAAAGCTTCTACTTTCTTCTCTCATTCCTTTACAGTTCATTTTCATTCATCTCAGAGCGCATCTACATTGTAGAATCGATGCAGTTCAACATCACTAGCATGGCTCAGTGCTATGGAATTGTGAGCATTATACGTTTTGAAAGCTCTGCCAAAGAGTACAGGTGCCTATCCAAACTCCAAATCCCTGGAATACTTCAGCATGGAGTTAAAAGTGTTGTCAAGCTGCATCAATTCCTCCTCGGTGGCAGATGAAAAGCATTTCCTTTTTCTTTCCCTGCTGCAAAAAGCATTTCCCCTTTCTTCCTGCCACAAAAAAGGAGCTGCATCTGGAGTAGTAATACTAATGTCACACTGATGACTGTCTTAGCCAATCTAAAAAAAAGGAGGGGGGTGGATTTCTTGCCTCCTTTTTGGTATTCCAGGCAATTTCATTCACAGATGTGAGGCTGAGCACATCAGCACCACCCTTTTTCAAAAAACCATGCAGAATTAAATGCCAAAGAGAGGAGATCTCTGTGTCTTTCTTCAAAGGGGCGAATGGCTGACCTGCTGGCCATCTCTAAATGCCAGGCCTTTGTTCCAAGATGAGCCCCCTTCCCAACTAAGGATGAAGGAGGGAGAGAGAGAGAGTCCCTCTTCCCCACCCTGCTCTGCCGCGCATGCGCTAGACGAAGACAAAGGAATAGGTAATTACAGGAGAGGGTTCCATTCATTTTTCTCCTGCAGTACTGCAAAGGGAGAAAGCCTGGGTGGGTGTGTTTCCTTCCTCAATCCCCTTGCCTTTCTTCTTAGCAGATGGGGGCTGAGGGCCCATGCTCTGAAGGAATAGCCATCCTTGGGAGTGGCGATGGTCCTGTTAGCAAGGCTGGAAAACCGCTATCTCAATGCAGGAGGAGGTGGAGCAGGGTGTGGAAGGAGGAGGAGGGAGGGAGCCACACTGCAGGAGCTACACACACAGAGATACACACATACACACACACAGTATGGCTACATTTGCTTGGCACTGAAGAGAGGAGAGGCTGAGATGAGGAGGCGCATCTACAAGGCTGAGACCATGCTACACATGCTATCTATCCATCCAGCTATCTATATGTCTATATATCACACACAGATCCCTTGCACATTTCGCCATGTGCCTGTAGCTAATGTGAGAGATTACGGCTCCTTCCGCACAACAGTATAAAATCCCACATTATCTGCTTTGAATTGGGTTATATGGCAGTACGGACTCAACTCAGTTCAAAGCAGATATTGTGGGTTATCGTCCTTCATATTCTTGTTTATATAGATATGGAAGGGTCCTACAACCCCTGTTGTCTTTCGTTCATTCATTCTATCTTGTTCCCTTATTAAACCATCTGCCTTTTTCTCCCCCATGCAATTGCCCAAGGAAGGACTCAACCATGTCAGAAAAAAATGGGTGGCAACAAGCATCCCTTTGCTGGGAGACGATTGAATCATCTTCTTTTGCTTCCCATCCTCAAATTGTATGAAGAGCGCAGAGCAAATGATGCTTGCCCTCTTTTCTCAACAAAGCTCCACAGGTAATGATGGAGGGGATCGAATCCCTTCCCGTTTCCGAAGTAAGATCTTCTCCCTCCATCTTCCCTCCTCCTCCTCCTTTTCTTCTTCCTCCTCCTCGTCCCCCTCCCCTCTTCCTCCTTCCCATGATTTCAACATGGATGCAGTCCTCCCCCCTTCCAAGACCCAGATGCCTGCCTCCGATCATTTTATTCCCTCCTAAAGAAGGCTCAGTCTCCAATTGTACTGTGGTGTGTGTGTCTCTATGTGGACATATGTACATACACCACCTTCCCTACATATATTACACACATCCCTATCCACGCCTGTTTGCACAGAACACATCCCGCAGATCTTTGCTTTCCTCCCTATTTTTTCCACCATTAAAACATGTCTAAAACAGAACATCTGGACCCTTATTTAGGGCGGGTCCCCTCAAGACCCTTCTACTGTCGCTTCTTTAGGGGGGGAAATGGGAACTCTTCCTCCTCCACACATATTAAATACATCGAGAGAACAATGACAAATCCCTGCTCATACACACTTGTATTAAACATTTCATTGGAAATCTTCCCCCTCAAGACACACAGATATCCATTAAATGCTTTGAGATAGACACACAATTGGAGATCTTCTCCCTCCAATCCCACACAGATATTGTTTCAAGATGTGTCTCCCCTTCCATACACATCTATTAAATGTTTCAAAAAAAAGAAAAAAATAATCTGAAATCTGAACCGCCTCCACACACACCCATTTATTATACACACATTCAGTATTTTCAAAGGGCTCCCTTCAGACACATGTACCCATGAAATATATTTCAGCATCAGAGATCACTAGAAACTTTTTCCCTATATATCTATCCCTAGATAATAGAGAGCTATTAAATATTTTTTTAAGATTATCGAAAATCTTAACCCCTTCCACACACACACACCCATTCAGTGTTTCCAAAAGGCTTCACACACATATACCCATGAAATATACCCCGCCCCTTCAGACACATATATATGCCGAGGAAGGCAGGAAATAAGGGGTTATCTCCCCTCTCTCCACACACACATATGTGAAATGTTGCACACCCATGTATGCCCATCGAGTGTTCCAAGATGAAAGGGACAATTGGAAGTCTCTCATAGAGATCCATGCAATGTTTCAAGAGAAAGAGAGAGATTTGGACATCTTTTCTTTCCACAGGCACTATACATACATGTATGTGTGTGTATATAATAAATAGAGAGGGGGGGAGAGATATATATAGTTTGAAGAGAAAGCTTCTCCAACCACCTCTATAGATACAGTTTGAAGAGAAAGGATCTTCAACCACTTCTATATAGATAGATATAGTCTGAAGAGAAAGGATCTCCAACCACCTATAGATGTAGATAGTGTGAAGAGAAAGGATCTCCAACCATCTTTATATATATAGTGTGAGAGAAAGGATCTCCAACCACCTCTCTCTATATCGATATATAGTGTGAAGAGAAAGGATCTCCAACCATTTCTCTCTATATAGATATATGGTGTGAAGAGAAAGGATCTCCAACCATCTATAGATATAAATAGATGTTTCTCCAAACCACCTATATAGATATAGTGTGAAGAGAAAGGATCTCCAACCATCTATCTCTCTATATAGATATATGGTGTGAAGAGAAAGGTTCTCCAACCACCTATAGATATAGATAGTGTGAAGAGAAAGGATCTCCAACCATCTTTCTCTATATAGATATATAGTGTGAAGAGAAAGGATCTCCAACCATCTATAGTTATAGATGGTTCTCCAAACCACCTATATAGATAGTGAAGAGAAAGGATCTCCAACCACCTCTCTGTCTCTCTCTCTCTCTCTCTCTATATATATATATATATATATATAGTGTGAAGAGAAAGGTTCTCCAATCACCTATAGATATAGATAGTGTGAAGAGAAAGGATCTCCAATCATATCTCTCTATATAGATATATAGCGTGAAGAGAAAGGATCTCCAACCATCTATAGATATAGATAGTGTGAAGAGAAAGGATCTCCAACCATCTTTCTCTCTCTATATATATATAGTGTGAAGAGAAAGGATCTCCAACCACCTATAGATATAGATAGTGTGAAGAGAAAGGATCTCCAACCATCTCTCTCTATATAGATATATAGTGTGAATATAGATAGATGGTTCTCCAAACCACCTATATAGATATAGTGAGAAGAGAAAGGACCCCCAACCACCTATATGGATAGATGGTTCCCCAACCACCTATAGATATAAATAGTCTGAAGAGAAAGGTTCTCCAACCACCACTATAGATATAGTTTGAAGAGAAAGAATCTCCAACCACCTATACATAGACACAAATGAAATGTGGGAACTCTCCCCCTTTCTCTCATTGACACACACAGACACATATATGCACACCATTAAGTGTTTCAAGACAAGTAAGTACTGTAAATCCTCCCCCTACACCCATTGAATATTTGGGATCCCATCAACGTGAGACCAAGGAAATCAGATGTGGAGGACAATACACCCATATGGAGCCCAGGGATTAGAGATGGGGCGAAAGAGAGGGAAGGGGGGTGCCTCTTACTGTCTTGCTTCGCTCCTGCCGCCCCCTTTGTGCCCGTGGGGCTGTCGCGTGGGGTGGTGGTCACACAGAGAGAGAGAGGAGAGGGTCCCCGGCTTGCTTGCTGCTCGCTGCTGCTGCCGCCCAAGTGAGTGGGTGGCCAGAGCTGGCCCTGCGTGGCTGGGGAGTGGAGCGAGTGGCGCTTCTGCTGGAGCCGGCTGATTGGAGCAAGCCAGCAACGCCGCCGCTAGTGCTGCTGCCGCCGCTGCATTTCTCTCCCACTCCCCTCCGCCCTCCCCTCCCCTCCCCTCCCTCCTCCCGCTGGGTGACAAGCCTGGGGGCCGTTCGAAAGCCGCGCATGCGCTCTGATCATTCTTCCCCCTCCCGCTCTTTCTTTGGCACCCTCATTCCTCCTCTAGGGGGCGCCTCCAGCCCGCCGCGTTAAATACCATAGCCTTGGCCCGCTCTGAGGAGAGTCCGTCGTGGGAAGGTGGGCGCCAGATGCTCTTCCCACCTGAAGGTGGAGGAAAAGACTGGAATTTCCCCTCAGTTTTTCACTTTGACTCCTTCTCAGGGCGCTTTTGGATCTCTATTGTGGAGGAGGCATGGCTTGGGAGTGGAAATACTCCTGAGAGGCTTTCAGATTGTTTCTTTCACTGGCAAAGGAAAACCATCCTGGGAAGCTTGGGATATACAGTACAAGATTCTTGGGAAGCTGGGCTGCCTCCCTGCAAATACTGCCTTTTTCTGAGACTTTTTGGAAGCCCATTGCTTTTCAACCAGAAGCTACAGGAGGGAGAGAAAGGGACAAAGCCTCCCTCCCAGGATTTCTTGTCGTCTTGGTCAGGGCAGCTCATTCTTTCGCTCATAGAGGTTTCCCCTCTCAATCGTCGCAAATCCGAAATCCGAAACGTGCAGGCAATCATCTCCTTTCCCCAGATTTGCGCCCAGCGCGCGCGCTCCCAGGGTCCAGCCTTATTCGTTGTTCTCTGGCGCCCTCTAGTGCCCAAAGAGCGGTAGCGCGGGACGTGCTTTTTCAGTAGCCCTTATCCGTGAGCAGGTTTTCATAGACCTGTCAGCAGCCTATGATACTGTGAACCACCGCCTCCTCCTGAGAAAAATGTATAATATCACAAAGGACTACCACCTCACCCGCCTCATAGGAAACCTGCTACAAAACAGGAGCTTTTTTGTTGAATTCCAGGGCTAGATGGCGGAAACAGAAGAACGGCCTGCCTCGGGGGAGCGTGCTTGCTCCATCCATGTTCAACATCTACACAAATGACCAGCCACTACCAAAAGGGACAGAGAGTTTCATCTATGCTGATGATCATGCCATTACTGCTCAAGCAGGGAGCTTTGAGATGGTAGAACAGAAGCTTTCCGAAGCTCTGGGTCAATGTTTCTCAACCTGGGGGTCGGGACCCCTGAGGGGGTTGTGAGGGGGTGTCAGAGGGGTCACCAAAAACCATAAGAAAACACAGTATTTTCTGATGGTCATGGGGATTCCATGTAGGAAGTTTGAGCCAATTCTATCGTTGGTGGAGTTCAGAATGTTCTCTGATTGTAATGAACTATAAATCCCAGCAATTACAACTCCCAAATGTCAAGATCTATTTTCCCCAGACTCCACCAGTGTTCACATTTGGGCATATTGAGTATCCGTGCCAAGTTTGGTCCAGATCCACCACTGCATGAGTCCACAGTGCTCTCTGGATATAGGTGAACTATTTATTTGTCGTGTCAGGGCAACCAGTCGATTATATTACATTTCTAACAGAACAAAGCAAACAAACAGACAGAATACAAAATTTGTGAGTTTGGTAGTTGATTAAATGTCCTTTGACCAGTAGCTGGCCACTTGAAGTGCTTCTGGTGTTGAGCCTGCCACTTTTGGACTCTCACTTGCTGAGGTGTTCCAGCGAGTGTCTCTGTAGATAGGTGAACTACAACTGCCAAACTCAAGGTCAATGGCCATCAAACCCTTCCAGTGTTTTCCATTGGTCATGGGAGCCAAGTTTGGTTCAAATCCATCGCTGGTGGAGTTCAGAATGCTCTTTGATTATAAGTGAACTATAAAACCCAGCAACTACAACTCCCAAATTACAAAATCAATCCTCCCCCAACCCCACTAGCATTCACATTTGGGTGTATTGAGTATTTGTGCCCAGTTTGGTTCAGTGAATGAAAATGCATCCTGCATATCAGATATTTACATTATGATTTATAACAGTAGTGAAATGACTGTTATGATGTAGCAATGAAAACAATATTGTGGTTGGGAGTCACCACAACATGAGGGACTGTATGAAGGGGTCACGGCATTAGGAAGGTTGAGAACCCCTGCTCTAGGTGCTCTTACTGCCTATTACAGGGAAAACCAGCTGATCCCCAATCCATCTAAAACACAGACATGTGCCTTTCATCTCAAGAACAGAGAAGCATCCCGAGCTCTGAAGATCACCTGAGAAGGAATCCCACTGGAGCATTGCAGTACACCCAAATACCTGGGAGTCACTCTGGACCGTGCTCTTACCTACAAGAAGCACTGCCTGAACATCAAGGAAAAAGTGGGTGCTAGAAACAATATCATACAAAAGCTGACTGGCACAACCTGGGGATCACAACCAGATACAGTGAAGACATCTGCCCTTGCACTATGCTACTCTGCTGCTGAGTATGCATGCCCAGTGTGGAACACATCTCACCACGCTAAAACAGTGGATGTGGCTCTTCTGGCAGCAACACCAGAAACACTCCAAGTGGCCAGATACTGGTCAAAGGACATTTAATCAACTACCAAACTCACAAATTTTGTATTTTTCTGGGGTTTTTTGCTTTGTTCTGTTAGAAATGTAATATAATCAACTGGTTGCACTGACACGATAAATAAATAAAAATCACAACCCAAGAAGTAGGAGCCCCCAGTGGCACAGTGGGTTAAACCCCTGTGCAGGCAGGACTAAAGACCGACAGGTTGCAGGTTCGAATCCGGGGAGAGGTGGATGAGCTCCCTCTATCAGCTCCAGCTCCTCATGCGGGGACATGAGAGAAGCCTCCCACAAGGATGATAAAACATCAAATCATCCAGGCGTCCCCTGGGCAACGTCCTTGCAGACGGCCAATTCTCTCACACCAGGGTGGTTCTATACAGACACTACAATATAGTTCAAGGCTGGCTCAAGAGTGGGGTGTTCAGAAAATGCACAACAATCACTCGCCACATGGCACAAATCAAGCCTCAAACAGAACCTTTAAAAAGAACTCACCAGACAGTCTGGAACAAGCCAAATGATGTGTTGCAGCCAATCAGCATATTTTCTATGCAGGTCTCAAAACCGGGACCAGAAAACACAGAGCGCTTGTCATTAATAGCTCTGAAGTACTTTTAAAATGCCAAAACACTGCTGTCTAGAAGGTAAACAATTACACTCCTGAGAGAGGAAACCACATTCCCATAGGAACATGCACTTTCCTCTTCTTTGTTCTCATTTCCGGTGCTCTGCCATGATCCAGTGTGGATACCAAATGGACAAGGAGATGCACATGTCAGCAGTCCGGCTGTCTAGCTGCTACAGTTCCTGGGTTCAGTTCTGATCTGCATTCAGTGGATACTGGAGCCACCGTCCCAATCCCAATCCCAGTCTGTTTTCTGGGGTAGTTGGGTTTTCTGGGGTAGTTGTGTTTTAATTCACATCCAAACTGGATGATTGTGTTTGTGTGAAACCACCCTTGAGGAAATTTGGCAGAGAAGGCTAAAGACCATCTAAAACTACAACTCTCCCAATTCCATATTCTTGAACCATGGCAGCTAAAGCAGTATCAAACTGCATTAATTCTGTAGTGCAGATGCACGCTAACTCAACATACCTGTAGAGCAGCATTTCTCAATCTGGGGGTCGGGATCCCTGGAGGGGGTTGTGAGGGGGGTTTCAGAGGGGTCACCAAAGACCATCAGAAAACACATATTTCTGATGTCTTGGGAACCCATTTGGCAGCAACTACAACTTCCAAATGACAAAATCAATCTCTTCCACCCCAACTCACCAGTATTCAAATTTGGGTATATCAGGTATTTGTGCCAAATTTGGTCCAGATCCATAATTGTTTGGGTTCACACTGCTGTCTGGAGGTAAGTGAACTACATCTCCCCTAAATCACTGTCAATTCCTCCAAAATCCCTTCAGTGTTTTCTGTTGATCATGGGAGTTCTGTGTGGGAAGTTTGACCAAATTCTATCATTGGTGGGGTTCAAGGTGCTCTTTGATTGTAGGTGAACTATAAATCCCAGCAACTACAACTCCCAAATATCAAGGTCTATTTTCCCCAAACTCCACCAGTGTTCACATTTGGACATATTGAGTATGTGTGCCAAGTTTGGTCCTGATCCATGATTGTTTGAGCCCACTGTGCTCTCTGGATGTAGGTGAACTACAACTCCAAAACCCAAGGTCAATGCCCACCAAACCCTTCCAGTATTTTCTGTTGATCATGGGAGTTCTGTGTGGGAAGTTTGACCCAATTCTATCGTCGGTGGGGTTCAAGGGGCTCTTTGATTATAAGTTAACTATAAATTCCAGCAACTACAAATCCCAAAGGACAAAATTAACCCCTCCCCCAACCCCCAACCCCACCACTGTTCAAATTGGGGTGCATAGGGTATTTGTTCCAAATCTAGTCCAGTGAATGAAAATACATCCTGCATATCAGATATTTACATTACAATTCATAACAGTAGCAAAATTACAGTTATGAAGTAGCAACAAAAATAGTTTTATGGTTGGGGGTCACCACAACTGTATTAAGGGCTTGCGGCATTAGGAAGGTTGAGAGCCACTGCTGTAGAGGGATCTTGGTCTCTTTTGCTACTGCACCAAATCTTGCTGTCATCTCAAATGAGTATACCATCTGGGCCACAGTACAATAGTTTCAGATTGGTCATTCTAGCTTCTAGAAAGAGTTCAGGCTCCATGTACTCTAATATTCATTTATTGGTCATTTTGGCCATCCACAATACTCATAGTTTTCCAGCACTGAGTTGATTCTCTTCGGTTGAGCTATCACATTAAAGAGGAGATAATATCCAAACATATGTGACTAATCTAATATTGATTAATGTGTTCTAAGAATCTAGGGCATTTGTTTCTCTTGGCTAGTAAGTATTATACCCAGAGTACACACACACTCAAATCTTTCTGCATCTTTATAACATTGATTAAAACATATACTTTTAAAAAATAGCTATGTCTTTGTACTTTGTATTCTTCATAACGAATCTTCCC